TGGTGTGGGGGTGGAGGTGGTGGTGGTGGTGGTGGGTAGGGGGGTGGGTGGGTGTGGGTGGGTGTTGTGCTAGTCCTAAGGCTTTAAACTCAGGGCCTGGATGCTGTCCCCGAGTTTTTTTGCTCAAGGCTAGCATTCTACCACATGACTCACAGCTCCACTTCCAGTTTGGTTGGTTTCTAATTAGAGATAAGAGTTTCATGAACTTTCTTACTCAGATTGGCTATGAATGAGATCTTCATATCTCAGCCTCCTGAGAAGTTAGGATTACCGGCATGAACCACCAGCACCCAGCTTATGTGTGTGTGATTTTAAGATAGGTGCCTAGTTACTAAAACATTATACTTTTCTTGGATCACTTTAATTTGATCTGCCTTAGTTTGGCCAAACATATATTTTAATTCTAACTTTACACTTAATTCAGTAACTCAGTGGCTGGGGATATATTTGGTGGTATAGTATATATATTTAGCATACATGAATGAAGCCTTGGGTTGGTTCAGTGTCCAGAAACACACTCACACTCTAAATATTTGCATAAAGAGTAATCGATAGGTAGATTAGTACCAATAGAACTGTTCTTATACATTCTTCTCTCTTTTCTCCAGATGTTCTTGCTCCGCAATATCCATGGCAGTCAAACGACATGTCAATGAACATGTTACCACCAAATCACAGCAATGACTTTTTGTTGGAACCTCCTGGACATAATAAGGAAAATGAAGATGACGTAGAGGTTATGTCAACTGACTCCTCAAGCAGTAGTAGTGACTCTGATTAAAAAACTTGTGAGATTGCACATAGAATTGAATACTCTAGGATTTTCTTAATAATGGGGAAATATAAACTGAACACTCCTAAGTGTAGCCACATAGATTGTACATCCTAATTAAAATAAAAATGGGTTTTGTTTTCAAACCCCAACCTGATTTTAGTTCTAATTTAGGCAAATGTTTGGAACTAGTCAAGCTTTACTGTTGAGAAGATTGTTGAGCAGTTCTGTGCTGGTCTGCCCAGCTCCCTCCATTGGAAGCATGTGGTAGGGAGGTGACCCATGCACATGTGTCACTAACCAGCATCCAGGAATTATTTAGAAAAGCATTTTATAAAACTGGTGGATTACTGAATATTCAGAGTTCAGAGTACAAACTCATGTTTCTCAGCTCTGCTACATTTTTTGTATTATTTGTAATTATTGTTTTTTTATAAATAAAATTGTTTATACTTTGTTTTTTAATTTAAACATTTTAGTGGAGGTAGAAAAATTATTATTTTAAGTTCAATAGAATTTCCAAATACTTACCTAGGATTCTGCAGTGGGAATGTGCTTGATTTTTGGAATACATTTGACCCAGTAATCCCAACTAGCAAGTTTCTCACTCCTATTCTTAGAAGAAATAAAATATTTATTAACAATTAAAATTTTTACTATAGTCACGTCTTCTTTCAAGAATAAGTTGTGTGAAAGGTGTTAAAAAATCTTGCCCTTACCCTCCCTATTCTCTAATTTTTTCTTTTTTTTTCAGTCATGGGTCTTAAACTCTGGGCCTGGGCACTATCCCTCAGCTCTTCAGCTCAAGGCTAGCGCTCTACCACTTGAGCCACAGCACCACTTCTGGTTTTCTGGTGGTTAATTGATGATAAGAGTCTCACGGACTTTCTTGCTAGGACTGGCTTTGAAGTGTGATCCTCAGAGCTCAGCCTTCTGAGTAGCTATGATTACAGGCGTGAGCCACCAGCGCCTAGATAATATGAATTAATTCTAATGGTATACTCATGAACACTTAATACCATAGAATCATTTTGTCATCAATAAAATATTAATAAAATATGGATACTATAATGGGAAAGGAAGGAAGTAGAAAGGAGACAGATGAGACAAACAGCAAAATCTTGGTTCTCGGGTGGACAAAGGAGTATGGGGAAGTTAATTGTTCCATTTTCTATTTCTGGGATATTTAAAATTTGTCATGTAGAAATTTCCTTTGTTCTCTATATCACCTTCCCTCCCCCCCCACACACACAGTGTTTTAAAATGTCAGGAGATGGAAAAGCTTTCCTTCTCTTCTAAAACAGCTTTGATGCACCAAGAACTCTAGAGATGCAGATAAAGAAGTGTGTAGGCACTTACCAGAGTGAATTTTCATTCTCTACAGCAGTATTCTGAGTTCACCTGTGATAGTTCATGAAGACTGCATGACCAAATACCATAGACTGGGTGACTTAACAACAGCAAGTTGTTTTCTGCATCTGTAGGTCAAAAGCTTTCTGCCACCTCTCTTCCTATGTTTGTGTCTTCTAACATGATCTTTTCTTTACATGTCAGTTATGTGTCTCCAAACTTACTATTTTTATGAGAACCTCAACTAGATTGAAGAAGGACCTGCGTTAGCAGTCTCATTTTAACTCAAATACCTTTCAAAGCCCAGTCTCCAGATCCTTTCAGTCTCCACCCACTTTCTGAAATATTGCAGGTTATGGGCTTCAGTGTAGAAATCTGGTGGGATGCAGTTAAATAACCAACTAAAGGCCTGTATAAACTAATAATTAGAGGTTAAATGAATGTTTGGCCTAGTAAGATTTTAGGTTCAGGTTATATATATAGTTGTATGTCCTTTGCATAACCCGTGTATATAATATATAGGAAATTGTACTGAATTTTGCAAATCATTGTTTCAATTAACAAACTAAAGTAGTTTTCAGCACTTCTTATGAGACCAATCCTTGATCAGAGATATATCACCCTAGTATCATCCTAATGGTAATCAGTTATTTGGGAAAGGACTTACTTTGTAACATCTGATTTTAGAGCCATTTAAAGAAAAGTTTGGTTGTCAGAAGGTAAGTTCTTAGTCTTTCTTATACAAGGTGTACTCTCCTTTAATTCTTTTGCTTCAGTTTCTTCTAAATGTCATAGCTACTTTTCGTTCTAATGCATAAAATCAGAATATGATATAAATGAGATGTCTGAGGGTATGAAGTCCAGGGATAGAAAATAGTTTTCCAAGCCTGGCGCTGGTGGCTCACACCTGTAATCCTAGCTACTCAGGAGGCTAAGATCTGAGGATCGAGGTTCAAAGCCAGCCCAGGCAGGAAAGACCATGAGACTCTTATCTGCAATAAGCCACTCAGAAAACTGGAAGTGGTACTGTGGCTCGAGTGGTAGAGTGCTAGCCTTGAGCTGAAGAGCACAGGACAGAGCCCAGGCCCAGAGTTCAAGCCCCACGACCGACAAAAAAAAGAAAAAAAAAAAGAATAGGTTTCCATCGTTCTATTTCCCAATTACTGATGCTGACTGCTGTGTTGAACAGGTTCCCTGGGCTAAGGGAGTGAGAAAGTATTAGACTGACATAGCTTGGTGCTGCCTGGGCAGTCATTCACTCACTGTGTTTAAGCACCTTTGTATGTTAGGTACTCCTTCCTTGCTGAGGATCCAGCACTGAATAAGACAGAGCTTAAACAAAAGGCAGTAAAATGAACCCAATAGTGTTAAGTATAATAAGGAAAAGAAAATAAGTAAAGTTCCAAATCCAACGAAATTCACAGTCCCCTCCATCTCATATGTACAATCTAGAGTTTTCATAAATTTTAAAACAGGGCTAGGAGGGTGGCTCAGTGGTAGAATGTTTGCCTTGCTTGCATGAGGCCCTGGGTTCGAGTTCTCAGCACCACATAAGCAGAAAAAGCTGGAAGTGGCATTGTGGCTAGAGTGCTAGAGTGGTAGAGGGCTAGTAGCCTCGAGCTGAAGAGCTGAAGTACGGTGCCCAGGCCCAGAGTTCCCCACAACTGACCAAAAAAAACCAAAAAACAAAAAAGTAAAGCAAAAGCAAAATTGTGAGTGCTGCTGTTTTTCACAACTGAATTTTTTTTTCCCAACCCCTGGACTCCTTAAAGGAAATGGCCAACACTCAAACTGGCATGATTTTTCCATAAAAACATGCCTGACCTTGGCCTTTGTTCCTATTGTGTGCTGCAATTCTGAGAACTGATAGTCTTATCTGAGAGGGGAAAAAATGTTCATAAGACTCCTTTATTTTTTCACAGAAAAATCATAAAGTCAACAACCCTAGTTACTCATTTCCCCGTCATGCTATAGGTTGGCAGGAAAGTACTTGCAGGCATAGCTACTAAGTGCTATAAAAGTGAAAATTTCCCTTCACTCAATCTCCACTTGGGTGGGTTTTATGTATCCAGAGTAATGTGGCTGCAGTGTAACAATAGGGTTTTATTTTGATGAAATGATGTTATTAATGTTAAGATTTGATCAATGTCATTACATTTGTATTCCATCCCAAAGTCCTAAGTTTAATGTGCTTAGTTACCTTTAGCAAAAGTATGCCCATCTCTTGTGTTGAGTGTTAATGTTATGCAAAGCATAAAGGATACATGACAGACTTCAAACTTGCTTTCTAAATGATACTTCTCAAAAACGTGGCCACAGCCTTGAGTATCAAAACCAGCTGGGTGGTGATTAGAACACAGATCCAGCTAGATGCAAGATCCCAGTAAGGTCTTCTGCACAAGCCTGGACACCAGTGTCCTAAACCTGCCTCAGTCACTGCCACCACTATCTCGGAATCTAGTGCTACTCTTGGAAATTTTCATATGTAGACAGATAATATAACGATGCAACCCCCCCCTTCCCAAAATAGGACTAAAGAATGAATATGCAGTAGAGATTATAGTAAGACTAGGGGCAGCTGATTAGAAAAAGAATCAATTGTGTACATACCCTCTTTGCATTTATATATGCAGTGCCATAAATCTGACTCCTCAAACCCTTGGGCCTTTAAATGTATTTCAGGATTTGAATTGTGTGTTTTAGAAGGCTAGTAGGATTTATAAACCATATGTTAATAATGCCCAACAAGGTCTGCAGTAGGACCTTTTAAATCAAGTACATTAAAATTTCTTTAGCAAAAATACATACTTTGGTGACCCAGCCTTTTCACTTTTCATTTATATCCAACAAATAAGTAAAAATGCACACACACACAATCTACAAAGTCATAGCAGCTTTATTTACAATAGTTCCCAGTCAAAATTCTCAAATGAACATCGACATTATGTAAATTCTTATTAATACAGAGCTCAATTGTGTAGTCTAGGCTGCCCTCCCACTCGCAATCTTGCTTCAGACTTAAGTTCTGGAATCATAGGCATGTTACCACCACACCTAGCAATTTCAGTGTATTTAAGTATGGAATACTATGCAAAATGATAGCGATGAATTATAGCTGCATGACATGGATAAAAACTCAAAAGCACTGTTGACTGAAAGGTGCCATGAGTTACACAATTCTTATAATCATATTGTATAATTTCCTACAGCAGGTTCAAAGCAGATTCATCAGAAATCAGTTTTGGGGTGCTGGTAAGTTCTATTTCTTGATCTAGGTAGTGGTAATTCATTATGTCCTATATGCATGTTATTCTTCCATTTTAAAAAGTTACTGAGTTTTTTGTTTCCTTTATTATTCACATAGATTTAAATGTTAATGGAGTCCTACTCATATTCCAGCTATTTTGCAAGGCATTAAGGATACCTAATGAACTTTATTTATGGCGCATGCAGATTTGCTGAAGTCATGCTTATTGGCTAGTTTGCTTGCCTATGAGATCCCATACAGAAAAAAACTTTTAGGAGTGATTTCTACCATGGGTTTAACCGTTGATTCTCACAACTATTACTTCTGGCCATCACTTCTAGCCCTCTAGAATCCCTTCCAAAGATTGACCCACATTAGAAAAAGCCAGGCCTGTATCCTGGGTTGGGAAAGTGAACTGCAGGACGTCATACTACTTCATTTTCACAGGCTGATCCAGTCCCATTCCTCTGGCTCAAACTCCTCACTTCCCCCAGCCCTAATCCCTTACTCTGGGCCTTACTTTATTCCTGAACCTGTTGGCTGCTTATTCTTCCTCTCTCCACTTGGAGGTTTTTTTGTTTGATTGTTTTTTGGGTTTTTTTTAGGTGCTGTTATTGGGGCTTGAGTTCTTGCTTGCTTTCTTGTCATGGGCACTCTATATTTTAGCCATGCCTTCAGTTTGGTGTTTTACTGGTTGATTGGAGACTGAGTCTCACAGATTTTTCCACCCAAGCTGGCTTTGAACTGTGATCTTTAAGGTTTCAGTCTCCTGAGTGGGGAGGATTAGAGGTGTGAGCCACTAGCCTCTGGCTGAAATTCAGCTCCTCTAGTGATAAAACCTGGACAGGGACAGTGAAAGTAAATAAGGCTGGTGGCTGCTGCCATCAGGACTTGTAAACCTAGTCTATTGAAAAGTCACTAAGAAAAGTGAAATTTACCCTAGTCCTTAGCAGGCCTACCCAGACCATGGTTTCTATTTTTTGGACTTCTAGCTGTTTTCCTGATCTATTTCTCTTGGTGTTTCAAGAGTCTCTTACCCAAATAGCCTCTTTCTCGGTACCCTAAGTATCTTGTTGATTGAAATATATTCTTACTGTGTAAAACAAGTATATCTACTTGTATATTCACTAATAAAACATGGGAGTATTCTCAAACACAAATGACCGTATGATCATGACCATATGCTTCTGAAAATATAGAAGATATCATAAGGTTCTTAATTTCTTTCTTTTTTTTCATAAAAAATATACTGATTTATTTGAGGTATTTATTTTCTTTTCTTATTGTGAAAATACTGTACAGAGGGGTTATAATTACATGGGCAAGATAATGAGTACATTTCTTAATTTCAAATACAAACTTCAATAATTTCCCCTACAATATAATACCTTGCCATCATGACTCCTCTACGTTAGTAGAGCAACATTTCTATTTCAAGTGCTCCACCTAGTGGCAGCTCTATGCATACACACCTTTCACTGGTAGGTACATTTCTGATTTGTTTCACTACTGCTCCTCCATAGAAACAGCTTTTCTCCCAGTGACAGTGGGAATGTAAATAGGAGAAAAAAATCCAGACCCTATCTCATAAATAACCACAGCAAAAGGGACTGGAGTTGTGGCTCAAGTGATAAAATGCCTGCTTAGCATGCTTGAAGCTCTGAATTCTAAGCCCCAGTACAACCAAAAATAAGGGGGACAGAAACAGGAAGTCCCAATTGAAGTTGGCAAATGTTTGGCTTACTTATGACTGTCCCTTTTGCCTAGAAATTGTTGATAAAATGGGAGAGCTGTATGCAAAACTATTAAGCCCTGGTATTATACAAAAATCCAATATTTAAATATTTTTAAAATGAAAAATATGTGGCATAGGAATTTGGAATTAAGTACATACTTACAATTTTCAATTTGTTGAGGTAATAATATAGAGGCCATGGATATGCCTCTCAGTTAACAGCTTTAAGTGGTGTTTCTTATGAGAACGACTTAATTTTAGCACTAACTTCTATGTACACAAACCTAATTACTTGCAGAGAGAGAAAGAAAGGGAAAAGAGGGAGGATATAGGAGAGCAAGAGAGGGAGGGAGGAAGAGAGGGAGAGTGCTTCAAAATGTGATCTTATTTGTGGACTGATGCCTGGTTCAAGTGGTAGAGTGCCTAGCTGAGCAAACATGAGGCCTTGAGTTTACTCTCCAGTACTGCCAAGAAAACAAAACAAAAAACACAAAGCCCAAGATATATCTCCATGAAAAAAACCCTGAAATTTTTATTAACCAAATAACAATATGTGCACCTAATTTTTCTGAAAAGTAACTTTTTCTAAAACAAAAAAGTTCATCAGTGAGGGGGGTATTACGGTTGTACAGTTTTGTGTCTGACTTAATTCTGACAGCTGATTCTCATATCTGCTTTTGCATTTGCTCTGTTACAATACCATGCAGGCAGACAGGCTCTGGAAATCTCTGTACATTCATCAGAGAATGAAAGTGAAAAGTTACATGCCTGAAAAACAGCTCAGGCCTTGATACCCTGAAAATCTCCTGGGAATCTCAGATCACATTTTGAGATCCAAGAAGAGTCAAGAAATTCAAAAAGATTCAAAGAATCTTTTTGGTCAGCTGGAGATGGTTTCCTTTGTATCCTTCCAGATGGCTCAGCTCTTCTGTAAATGGATTGTAGCCTTGTTCCTTCAAACAGCGGAGTGCCCAGAAAAGCTGGTCTGGAGGAGGGAATTCTTCCCATGGAACCCACTCCCAACCTGGAGAAGAGACAGACTGTCAGTGCACTCAGCTGACACAGAGCTTGAAGAAAGTACTTTGGTATGCTAACCTGTATTTAGGAAAATAACTGAATTTCAAAGTGATCTGCTGCAGGCAGGCAAGGCAAAGTGCACCATTATATACAGTTGTCTTACTTTCATTTTTTTCAGGTTCTACATTCTTGGGTTCTGGGTCTTGGGTCCTATCGACTTCTCCTTTCATCAGTATAGTGACATAATGGTAATTCTCTTTCTCGACAAAAGAATTGACCACTGAAGCAAAGCGGACATTTTCCAGGTGAAGAGCAGCTTCTTCCCAGGTTTCCCTTCGAGCACATTCTTCCCAAGTCTCTCTAGAAAACAGAAATATTCCATTGCATTTTATTCAATTCTATCTATACAGTTTAGTCTTTTTTTTTTTCTTGATTAGAAACTACTAAGGCAAAAAGAACAGTAATTGGCTTGCACTTAGACATGATCAAAGTCTTTGCTGGGTGGGGTGCATGCCTGTAATCCCAGCTACTTGGGAGGCTTGCTTGAGTCAGGGAGTTCTGGGCTGCAGTGTGCTCTGCCAATTGAGGATCCTGTGTTCAACATGAATATGGTGACCTCCCTGGAGTGGGAGACCACCAGGTTGCCTAAGAATTGACTTTCTGTATGTTCTACATCTACTGAGCTGAGGCGCAAAAGGACTTCATAGAGAACAAGAAATTAACATTTAGCCCATTCAGCACGAATTCTCAAGCCAGATGCAAACCTGAGCAACTAGAAGGCAGTTCAATGTATTGGTTTAAGAGCATGGGCTTTTGGGTCCACTAGACTTGTATGGGGCTCAAAGGCTTGTCTATCTTAAGGAAAAAGAGAAGCATGAGCATTTACACTGAGTAGTTGTGCTAAAGTGCACTGCCTTTTCCAGTAGTCTCAGCATTCCAGCTTTCGCCTTAAAACTGAGAACAATTGGCAGTAAGCACTTCTAGATTCTCAATGGTATGAGGGAGATCAAACAAGATGTCATCTGAGCTTATGGATTTGCAGGAAGGCCAGACTAGTCCTTGTCCCCCATTCTGCCCAGGCCAACACAAGGACAAGATCTAAGATATGCATTTGCTACCTCATAGGAATGGTTCCCTTCCTCCTGATGAACAGTCCATTCTGTTCTCCAAGCCCTAGGAGAGACAGTCCAAGACAATGGGCACAGAGGCCAGAAGATATGGCCAGGGAACTGCAGAAATTCACAGGCCTACCCAGTACTTCAAAGCAGGCTGCAGGGAAGAAGTCTTGGGAAGATCTGCAGTGTCTCTTGTCACTTTAGGATGCATATGAATACAGAGGAAGACCAGGAGGGCTGAGCAAGGAAGAGGGGATGCAGTGAAAAAGCACCATTTCTAGTGTGTTCCTTGTGGACTTTCTACAGACCATAAGATTGCTAGGAACTCCACAGGGGTAGTATGCTAGAAGCAAGAGCTAGGGGAGCAGGACCAGTACCACAAAGTCAGTGCTACTTAGCCATGGACTGTGTGGTATAGCAATCCTTGTGGGATGTCCAAGCAACCAAGCAGAGACTCCTGATGGAGAGCACATGAACAGTGGACCTGGCACACAGAAGGACAATGGGTGAACTGCAGCAGCCTCCATGGGATCAACAGCCTGCCCTCTCCTTCCTCCCCTACTGCAGACGGAGGGGAGCAGGAGGTGGAGAGAGCAAAGCAACAGCTTTGCTTTGAAAATCACAGGGAGAGATTAGAACCAGGAAGTGAGGCTAAAGATTTATACTGGATTAGACTCTGGAATGCTTGGAAGTAAATCTTAAGGATCAAAATTCAATTTATTAAACTAGCACAGAAAAATTATCAGAAATATCACTTGTGGGAAAAAAAGCTCTTTTTTGAAGAGTGGAAGGACAAAATAAGGACATTTTCTGTTTGACTCCAGTTATAGTTAGCTGTCAGTATTCAGTTCGGTAAAGACCACATGACAGAGAGCAGCTGAGCAGGTACTTAGCTTAAGCACTTAGTAAAACTGCTTTAAAGTCAGTGTTGGTTACCATCACTGATACTGAGTCAAGAGTCCAGTACTTTCTTAGGATAGCTATCTCTAGCAATTGTTCTAGTAATTATATGTTCTTTCTAGTCCTTAGCTTGTGATCTAAGTTTGGCTAATACCCACCAACAACCAATAAAGCACATTTAATATGTGGCTATACAGGCAATTCAGGTTTTTACTGATATTGTTTTGGCAGTACTGGGATTTGAACTCAGGGCCCTAACACTTGCTAGGTATGAACTCTACCACTTGAGCCACACTCCTGCCCTTTCTGCTTTATATTTCCAATAGGGTTTTGCACTTTGCCTGGCTTAGCCTGAACCATTATCTTCCTATTCATGCCTCCTATGTAGCTGGAATAACAGATATACACAACCACACTGGGTTTCCTCATGGAGATGGGTGTAATTTTTTGCTGCAAATTTTTGGCTGCAAACTAAAATCCTTCCCATCTCTGTGTCCCAGTAGGTGGGATTACATGTGAGCCACAGTACTTGTCCCTATTGGGTTTTTTTTAGATGTTTTTGTCTATGTAGCTCAGGCTGGCTTTGAATTTGTAATCCCAAGTGCTGGGATTACAAGTGTATACCACCACAAGTGGCTTTTAATTTGGTTCTTTTGTTTGTTTGTTTGTCTGTTTGGTTTTTTGGTCATGGACCTGAATTCTGGGCCTGGGCACTGTCCTTCAGCTCTTCAGCTCAAGGCTAGTGCTCTACCACTTGAAACACAGTGCCACTTCTGGCTTTTTCTGCTTATGTGGTACTAAGAAATCGAACTCAGGGCCTCATACATGCAAAGCAAGCACTCTACCACTAAGCCACCTTTTACCAGCCTCTTAATTTGACTATTAAAACTTTTAAAATGCAGTATTAATGACTTACCTTTATTTGAAAACAATAAATGTATTGGTTTTTTTTTTAATTCAGAAGATCATTTTTTAAAATTCCACATGTTGGGTCCTAATGACTCACATCTTTAATCCTTACTCAAGAGGCTAAGATCTGAGGATCACGGTTCAAGGCTAGCTTTGGAAGGAAAGCCTATGGGACTCTTTATCTCCAATTAATCACCAAAAAGCCAAAAGTGGAGCTGTGGCTCAAGCTCTAGAGTGGCTCAAGAGCATGTCTTTCAGCAAAACAGCTGAGGGACAGTGCCCAAGGCCTATGTTCAAGCCCCAGGATGCACAAAAAAATAAATATGCTAAGATATTAATTTCAAACTTTATATAAAGACTAATTAAAAGACACTAGTATGACGGTTTTACTTCTGATTACCAAGACGAACACTCCATATTTTCAACTAAAAAAATGGCAAGACAAAGGCTGTTGGGGGGTTACTATTAGTTATGTTGAGATAAAGCGATACATATCTTTTCTTTTGCTCTCAACAGGGACAAAAGAGTTTTAAAAAAAAGATTTTAGAGGTAATTTAGGAAGAGGGATGGTGGTGTAGCTCAAGTGGTAAAGCACCTACCTGCCTAGCAAGAAAGAGGCCCTGGGTTCAATTCTGGGGGGGAAGGGAATGCGTAAAATTGGGAAGAAGGTAGAGTAACAGATGATACTAAAGAACTGATGTTAGGAAAATAGTGGTGTGTTTTTACTTTTAGATCTATTTAGACAGAACACAAGTATTTAGGGACACTTGTAAATCTCATGGAACCTCACGGAATCTTGGAGGGTCCGCGATGGACTGCTGGGGTTAGAAACGCCCACCCAGCTCCTCCCAGCCCCACGCGGGACTGGTTCACCCGGACGACGTGCTTTCCTTCCCCCCAGCACAGCGCCCCCTCCCGGCGGGAGACTGCGAGACCCTCGGCTTCGCAGAGGAACCCGTGAGAAACGACGCACGGCGTCAGCGCAGGCACGCCCTCACGCACGCCAAGGCCCGCCCTCCATTCCGCTTTGACGGATCGACCTGCTCACCCGAACTCCAAATGTCCCCCAGGAAGCTGGAAACTGCCGGCTCCAAAGGACCCTTTCCTCTTGCCCAACAGGACGCATCGAGGATGCTTGTAGCTGGTCACAACCACTCCGACCCCGACCCCGGGCCGCCTTCTCAGCGGCTCCACACTGCCGCTCATAGTGCCGAAGGCCTGGCTGGGCCGCCACTGGAAGGGCACTTCCGGTGGTGTACGCTTCCAATCTTAGCTCGGGTCGCCCCAGGACCTCTAAACCAAATTGGCCGCTAGGCCTCCGCCTCCCGCAGGGGTGGGACTGCGTGCCGAGTTCTGTTTTAACGAATGCCATTTAATTTTGCACTTCAACACTTAGGTGTCCATTCCCAGGTCCCTCCATACCACCTGGTTACAGGCCACCTGCCTTTCCGAACATCTGAACCCTTGCACATTGTTTTATCCTTGAGTGACCTTCGCTCCAGAGAATTCGTCTTACACTGGAGCTCGAACCAGTGAGGTACCAGGGCAGATGTAAGTCACTGTGATTTTGGAGTAAATAAGAACTAGTAAGTTGTGTTAGAATGTGTTAATTTCATGTTTGAGACACTATTGCAGATGTTTACATACCATACACCAAGTGAAAAAACAGAAAAAGGGGGAAAATCACTGTTGAAACAGAACTATAGCTAAAACACATGATTCGTCTACATGGGATTTACAAAAGAGGAGGTAACAATGATTGATAGGAAATGTACTCATTACCTAACTCATGTTAACTGTAACCCCTCTGCACAGTATCTACAATAATTTTTTTTTAAATACTCTGGTTTGAATTCATTTCTTTTTTCCTTCTGGCACTTCCTGTGTTTGACACTTGAAGCTCCATGTAGCTCAAAACCCACCTTGCAGTTTTATATAATATTGGATGGTGCCTAATGTAGCTAAATCATACAACTTAGGTCACATTGCAAGTAATGTCCAAAGGAACATTTCTCCCTCTCCTTCACCCTCTCCTACACCCGTCTCATCTTTTTCCTAACACTGTATGTCATTGGTTGGTTGGGATTCAGTCTGTGTGAAATGAACTAAATATTCACTATGGTTCAACTTGATCTGATCACATTCAGTGTGTCTTACTTAATAGCTGGCCTCAGCTTTCTCACATTTGAACTTATTTGCTTAAGATGTCTCAAACATATCAGATTTATGCTGTGGCTTCTGTTATAACACTTTGGAAAGACCATGTCCTTGATTCATGTGGACTCAGCATGAGACCCAGGGAACTTCAAGACATCAGAAGAGTCCTTACACAGAAACCTCCCCATTTCCACCCATCTGCTGTGCCCCCTGACTATATGGTGTGGTCAAGTTTGTTTTGATATGGGGGACTCTCCTGGGCAATAGCAAACCATCTCAAATGGGAAGATTGATAAGGCAGGGCTAGAGGCAGGGAATTCTCCTCTGCCTTCAACATTGCTGTTATCTAATGAAACTTTATATAGGAAGATCACAAAGAACAAAAAGTAGCAATACACTCTCCTCTTTTCTGTCTTTGAGACAGAAAGGGAACTGGATACTCACTTCAAAAAATCTATAATTTATGATCTGGCTTTAGTCTTTCATATTCTTATGGGAGAGCTTAAGATCAGACTTGCAGGCCTATTACCTCACTGTGTAAACTTATCTTGAATGTTGGAAACTAGTATTACTTCTATCAAATGTGCCTTCTCTGTCAATGTATTAGATGGATATTTGAGAAACATAATTTAATTACCCTTCTTTTGGATCTGCTTGTGACTTTCTTGACCAATATAGTGAGATGGAAATGACATCATATGATTTGCTAGGTTAGGTCATCAGAATTCTTGAAGCTTTACCCCTCGTTGCCCCCTTGGTTTTTAGAAAACTTACTCTCAGAAATCCAAGGACCCTGTGAAGAATCTAATTATCCTGTACCTGCTATATTGTCAGGAAGCTCAAGCTATCCAGGTGGAAAGGTCATTCAAAGACAGAGAGAGAGAGATATTTGGCTATCTGTCACTGGCTTTTCCAGACATCCCAATACAGGCAATACAGATAAAGAACCCATCTCTGTTATTCCCACTTGAGCACACCTGAAGCAGAGAAGAAAAGTCTAGAAGACAAACAGAACTAAGGAACTAGCTACATGATCTGAGAGCTCAGAGTCCAATAAAAACGTGGAACTCAAGGTTTAATATTATTCAGAAGTTCAAGATGGTGTAAACAGAGAATGAAGTGAAGAAGGGGCCCTTTTATTACCACTGAGTCACCGTGGTCACTCACCAGTCACTCACATGCCTACTTCAGATACATGAAATGCTGAAAACAAGCCAGCAATCTTCAGCCTATGAGCTGTCCTCACCATGGGAAAGCAAAATACCTGTCCTTGCTGTGGCCTGCTCACATCCCTGATCTCACAATATCATCAGTATAATACAGTGATTGTGGTTTTACACCACTAAGATTTGAGATGGTTTGTTTAATAACATTACATATAATCCCATTATAGAATAATATTTACTAGTCTTCAAGATTAACATTTATACTTATTAGTTATGAAGTAACAATGTAGCAAACTAATATGTTAAGCTGTGTTAGAATGTTGGATAGACCTTGAGAAGATTACACTAAGTGAAAGAATCCGTTTACATGAAATCTATAAGAGGCAAATTCATGGAGACAGAATAGAACCTAGGGCTAGCAGGTGGAGTTTGCAAGGAAGGAGGAAGTGACTATGGATGGGTAGCAATTACTTTGTGGGGTAGCAGTTACTTTGTGGGGTAATGAAAACGTTTAAATGAATTACCACTGTATGAATAGAGTAAAAGATAAATGTATTCTATTTCTTAAATGGGTGAATAATACAGTATACAAATTACATTAAAGCTGTTATTAGGAATGTTGAGTGGTGGAAGACGAAGCTTGGGATAATAAAGTATATGGATATATTTGCCTAAGACCGTGATCTAATATTTTATATTCATCTCATCTACCTTGAATGCTAATTGTGGATCATTGGTGGCACATGAAAGCTTCTTGGATCTTTCAGACACCACCATGACCAACGAGGAAGTTATTGTTTTTCTATTCTATACTTTGTTTATTCACATACCACTTGGTGGACATTTGGGATGCTTCTAGAAATTATACAGTGACTACTAACATTCATGTATAGTTTTTTTTGGTACTGGTCCTGGACTTGAACTCAGGTTGTGGGTGCAGTCCTTGAGTTTTCTTTTTCTCTTAGAGCTGGTACGCTATCACTTGAGCCACAGCTCTACTTCTGGCTTTTTGATGGTTAATTGAAGATTAGTCCCATGGAGTTCCTACCCAGGCTGGGTCGAACTGTGATCCTAAGATCTCAGCCTCCTTTGTAGGATTATAGGAATGAACCCCAGGCCTGGCTCAAGTATAAACTTGTGGGTGCTTATATATTTTATAATTTAAAAAACCTTTTTATCTAGAAAATGTTTTCATAACTTTATTGTACTTCTTCATGTCCTACCATATTTCTCAGTACAAACTGTAACAGTTCTTTTGGGACATGTTTTAAATCTTCTGGATTTGCTCTTAGTTGCTTGTTTTCATTTTGGAATAATTGGTTACTTTTGCAAGAAAACCTTATTTACACACAAATATATATATATATATACATATATACACATATGTATATTAATAATCCTTGTTTATTTCTTGTTTTACATCTCTTTATCTCCTATTTATTTTATTGTTTTTACCTTCTTTTTTTTTACCACCTGTACGAAAGTTTGAATACAGAGCTGCAGGCTTGCTGGGCTGGTACTTTCCATTTCACACACAGTTCTAGCCTGACATTTTGCTGGTAATTTTGGAGTCTTTCTGCTCAGGCTGGCTTAGAATCGTGGTCCTCTGGATCTTAGCCTCTTGAGTGGCAAATTACAAGCATGATCCATTAATGCTGGGCTTAAAAAAAGCTGAAATTATATTCATGACAAAACAAATAACAATCATCTACCCACATATAGTTACAGATATTATGTAGACTTTACTGATACGTGTGTGTGTGTGTGTGTGTGTGTGTGTGTGTGTGTGTGTGTGTGGCCAGTCTTGGGGCTTGAACTCAGGACCTGGACACTGTCCCTGAGCTGCTTTTGCTCAAGGATAGCACTGTACCACTTTAGCCACAGAACTATTTCTGGCTTTTTCTGTTTATGTGGTACTAAGAAATGGAACTCAGGGTTTCATGCATGCTAGGCAAGCACTCCAGGACAAAGCTGGATTACCAGCTCTACTTAGATTTTTTGTAAAGCTCTTTTCAAACATTCCCCCATCTCCTTATTGGAATCTAAATGTTACATAATGTTGAAATCTACTAACTAAAGTTCTGCAACCTTAAATGATAAAACTTTTAGGGGCTGGGAAGGTGGCTCAGTGGTAGAGTGCTTGCCTTGCATGCATAAGGCCTTGGGTTTGATTCCTCAGCACCACATAAACTTTAGAAAAGGCTGGAAGTGGTGCTGTGGCTCAAGTGGTAGAGTGCTAGCTTTGAGTTGAAGAGCTGAAGGACAGCACCCAGGCCCAGAGTTCAAGCCCCAGGACCGACCCACAAAAACAAAAAACAAACAAACAAAAAAAATCTCCCAAACTTTTAGTAGGACCAAAAAGAAGGCAGAACAAAGAAAATACACAAAGTCCAAAAATCTGTAGTGACAATTTAGGATACAAAAGGCAAATTGATAATTATTTGATATGTCTAGACACAGAAGAGAGGATTAAATCTCTACTGTTGTACAGATTTCTCCAGTCCAGAATGAGAACGTAAAACTCACCTCATATTGAAAAGGAATTGGGTAGGCTAACTGAAATCAGGGAAGAATAGTTACCTGCTCCTGAGTAGGGATTTCCTTCATTCTCCTTGGTTCACTGAAATATGTCACCAGATTCAGGTCCTCAGATATAAGCATACCAGAAAGTTCTTGGTCTTGGAGAAAGAAATTAAGGATGAACACAGAGGTGACTTAAGCAGGAGCAGGTTAAGGCAAAGCAAAGTGAAAGCAAAGCCAAAGTGAACCCTCCAGCTGGGAGGATGGGCAGCCAAAAGAAGGTGCTGTGCTGGAGCTGCCAAGCTTTTGTTGGGGTCCTGGACACAGATACCCTGAAAAACTGGATTATGTGTTATTAACTAGAATTCAAGAGACTGGGCTTTATAACCACCTGCTAAAGGACTTACATGTGGTTGAGGCA